CTCCTCCTCTCCTCTCCCAGGAAGTTCTCTCCTCACCTGTGAGCAGGAGCTCCTTCCAGGTGATGTGCAGTGTGCAGGGAGGGGCTGAGAGGGGCCCCATGGCTTGTGCTGCCTGCGTGTTCTCCTCTGTGGAGATGAGCCTGGGATCCAGAAACTTTCTGAGCACGGCTGTCAGCTGTGCTGTCCTTCCTCCTTCTGTGCTGAACCTCTTCCCGGGGCAGGAGCACTTCTCCGGCTCATGGGTGGGGTCTGTGCCCAGGACACCTCTCTATCCCCTCCTCTCTCAGTCCTGCCTCCTTGTCCCTCCTTCTCTTTTTCCTTTTGTCTGTGTGTCAGGTCCCTGGGAATTGTGGAGGCCTCTGTCTTTTTCAGTAGTGATTCTGTCACCAAACCTCAGTACACACTATGTGCAGAAACATAAACACATACACAAAAGAGACACACACAGACACACACAGTCACACACATACCCTGTAGGTTGGGCAAGCACATTCCTGGGCCTCAGCCTCCTGCTGTCCCCATGGCTCTGGGTCGGGTGCACATTCACGCCCTTTGCCCTCTTCAATCCCATCTGGCTCTCCCCTTCAGTGAAGGAGGCTGGAGCTCTACCAGGTCCATGTCACAGGGACACCCCATTATGCTGTGGGTGAGCTGTGTGTCGTCTGGTGAGAGGGGCCCTTCCTTTCTCTAATTGTGTCTAGCTTGGCTGCAGATTCCAAGAATGGACATTCAGGACCTGGGTGTCCCAGAGGAAAGTGTCCTTTCTGGAGGTGTGCAGGGTGAATCTCTCATGCCTCTTGGGAGGAGAGGCCAGTGCTGGTTGCTCAGTGGGGGCTGTGAGTCCCACGGTCAAAGGGACAGTTCTCAGTCACTCTATTGCTCCCTGGGGTCTGGTGGCTGAGCTGGGGCTCAGGGTTTCTCATTTCTTCCTGACCATCTTTGGTGTCATCTCTTCACTGCCCATCTGACCCCGTGGTGGTGCAGGAGGAAGTGGGGAGTTACCCGGGAACCCCGTGGAACATGGTTCCTTGAGACATACGAAGGAGAGCCTGGGACAGAGCAGGGGTTCAGAGCTGGAGAGATTCATCCCGACTTACTCCGTGGTCGTGATGGGCTCAGCCCTCCATGTGCTGACATACCCAGGGGTCTGTCCTGAAGGTTTTCACCCGGCCAAGATGGTCTCTGTAGAGGAGGAACAGGCAGTCACCAGAGAGCCTGTCTGGAGGGACGTTGCTCACCCCTGAGAGGGCGGGTGGGGGTGAGTTGTGTTCTGGGAGCAAAGAGCAATAATACCCCCTTCTCCTGGCAGGGACACAGGAGAGGTCTGTCTTCCCAAGGGACAGCCGGGGGCAGGTGGCCACATACTATGTGGTGCGTGTGTGAGATCATCACACGGGCTCTGAACCCCACGGGGTGCGGCGGGCAGACAGGTCACAGGGTGCCTGACTGATTCCCAGGGAGGCTGTGGGCCCTCAGGCAGCCGCTGTTCTGTGTCAGCGCTAGGCTTGGCCTAGGATGCCCCACAGAACAGGACAGATGGAGCAGAGGCGGGCATTTAGGGAGCAGTGACAGAAAGAGTTGATGAGGATGGAGGGAGGTCACGAGGGGAAAGTGCACAGTGTGGCGTCGCGTGCACCAGCGCTGCAGTGGGAGATGTCTTTTTAACTGAGCCCACGGAAGGAGCAGGTGTGTGGGGCAGGAGCTGCCTGCAGAGGGAGTGGTGTTAGGTTGGCGGCCGCCAGGTCAGGGAGGAGCTGGCACAGTCCGTGTGGGGAGCATGGAAGACGTTGAGGACTTGGGCCGAGGTGACCCTGGTGAGGGTGGACCCTGCTTGGCTACAGGTTCTGCTGAGGGAGGTCGTCATCCCCTGGGAAGGCTCCAGGCTGGAGGGACTCCGCCGCCCTCTGGTGGACTGGAAGGGAAGCGTGGGTGGCCTAAGTACCAGGCCAAGCTGCGTGTTTTCTTCCACAAGGATCTGCACGTTTCAAACGAGGTCACACATATGTTATGTTACAGGTCCATCACCTTCCAGTCCTGTGAGTCCCAATCTCTGTGGCTCCACGTTCACTGTTCTCCCTCTTTCACGATCGGATGTCCCGAACGCAGATTTTTGTCACCTTCAGTGAGTTTGTGTTTGTGTGCAGTAGGTGGCACTGTGTATACCCTGGGGACAGTGATGTCTGGGGCTGAGCACTGCACATGGGCTTGGGAGCAGAAGACGGAGCAGCAGGGCGGGAGGATCAATGAAAGGGGAGCAGGGACAAGTCATTTTCATTTTCTCACTCCCAGGGACCAGAACCCAGGATTCTGACTCCAGGGCGCAGTACCACAACCTACTGGTGTCCCTGGATGTCATGAGTGCTTATAGTGTCATGTTGCCTTGGCATTCATTTTTTAAGGTGTAAATTTATTTGCCTCACATCAGAGGCAGGCCTTGCTCACCATGGCAGTTTTCAATACTGTATCTGGTTCAAGTGACTGCAGTTGGTGGCCAGCGATAAAATCTAAGAGGCATCTCTCCTGCTTGGTGTGCTGGGCTCCTCTCTCTCCATCTACTTTCTTTAAACTGATATTCTGACATTTGCCCTTACATTTAAAGTGACCACTTCTCAATCACAGCGTGATCTCCTGGTCCCAGTGTTTGCTACTTTCTTTAATCACATCCATTAAACCTCCCTGCTGGAAACCTGTCAGATAACACCTGGACTTACTAAACACATTGGCTTACCGTTCTCTTCCCTCCTCCCTGCCTGGGCTCGCTGACCTCTGTATCTGTGGTCTCCAGATGTGCTGAGTGCTCCCCAGTGTCTGTAAGTAGTAAAAACACTTACACTTTCACGTTGTGGTTGTATCATTGTAGCCTCACATGCCATCCAGGGCCTGACATCGAGGCTGCCCTGTGGGACCTGTGCTTGTTGAACCCCTGCTGGAGCTCTTGTTTGGGACCTGCAGTTCTTCTGGGGACAGGAGCTTCCAGCTAACTTGATTGAAAAAGTGATGCGTTTCATGGAAAACACTGGGTCAGATGATGTATTCATGGGCTTCAGCTGCCATAACAAACACCTTAGCCTGGGTGAATTAAATAATAGAAATCGATTTTTCACAGTTCTGTGAATAATGTGCTATTTTAACCACTTTAAAATGTGCAATCAAATGCAATTAACCACAAACACAGTGTTAAGTTACCATCACCACTATTTTTCCTAGAAAATTTTTATCATTTTAAACTGAAACTTTGTATCTTTGAAACTATAATAACTCCCTGTATTTTCCATCCTACACATTGATCATCTCTGCTCTGTCTCTGTGAATTTGCCTATTCTTGATGTTTCATATAAATGGAATTATATATATATGTTATTTAGTTTCTGACATATTTCACTTAGCATAATGTTTCCAAAGCCCATGCATCTTCCAGTGGATGTCAGAGCTTCATTCCTCTTTATGGCAGATTAACATTCTCTTATATGTGTGACCACATTTGTTTATTCATGTGCTGATGAACACTTGGATAGTTTTCATATTTTATCTTTTGTGAGTAATGCTACAATCAACATTCCCATGCAAGTACCTGTTTCAGTCCTTGGATTCAATTCTTTGGGTATATACCTAGGACTGGATGCTGTTTCACATGGGAGTTCTATGATTAGCTTCTTGAGGAGCAGCACAACTATTTCTCCTAGTGGCTGCACAGTTTTATAATCTCACCAGCAATGTATGAGGATTCCAAATTCTACATAAGGCTTTCAATTGTTATTTAACATTTGAAAAGAATGGTAGCCATATTTGTAGGTTTAGTGTGGGATCCCATTGTGGCTTTAACTTTGTATTTTCCTAATGACTAATGATGTTGAGTTTCTTTTCATGTCCCTCTTGATGATTTGCATATCTTCTTTGAAGAAATGTCTATTTGCGTCCTTTGCCCATTTATATAAATTGGGAGGTTTTTCTCTTTGTTATTGAGTTGTAGCAGTTCTTTATATATTCTGGGCATGAAACCATTGTCTATGTGATTTGCAACTGTTATGTCTCATTCTGTGTTTGGTCTTTTTATTTTCTTGATAATATCCTTTGATGCACAAAAGGCTTGCATCTTTAGCTGAATTTATCTATTTTTCCTTTTTCTTTCTCATGCATTTGGGTCATACCTGAGAATCCATTGCACATTTGAGGTCATTAAGTTTTACCCCCATGTCTTTTTCTAAGATGTTTTTGTGGTTTAGATCTTATAATTAACTCACTCATCCATTTTTAGATAATTGTTTGATATGGTTGAAAGTATAGTTCTCTAAGTTTATTGTTTTGCATGTTGTTATCTAGTTGTTTCTGCACCATTATTTGAGAGGATGATTGTTCCTCCATTAAATTATCTTGACACCCTTATGCAAGAGAAATGAACTATAAGGGTGAGAGTTTATTTCTGGACTCTCAATTCTATTTCTTTGGTCCCTATTTGTATTCTTATGCCAGCAGTTTCTGTTTTTAGTACTTGTAATGTTTTGTGAGATTTCAAATAAGAAAGTTGAAGTTCTGCAATTTATTTTGGCAAAATTGTTTTGGCTCTTTCGGGGTACTTTTTTAACAGCAAGGAGGCCAATGATTTGCAATTGGAAAGCTTTTTCTGTCGTATTTTGGAGGGGAATTTTGCAGTCTAGGGATTTTTCAGGAACTTTATCACAAGTAGGTAAATTTTCACCACTTCCTTTGCTGAGGTACTGGGTTATAATGTGTGTTGCCTCCCGTTGAGGAATTGAGAGACCCTGGAAACACTTGCCTGTGTGGTAAGGGACAGTGAGCTCCTTCATGAGGGGCACAGAAGACATTGCTTTGGGACATAATGTTGTCAGGGGAGCTGTGTGCCTCTCTATTTCTTTATTTTCTTGTGCAGTTTAGATCTCTGCTGGACACACTAGACTTTGAAATCTTTGTTGATTCTCTTGGTTCTCGTTTGGCTGACCTGTCAGCTGGAGCTGGAGGACATGCCTGGAAGGGGAGTGACCCCCACGGGAAAGAGTAGGACTCAGCAGAGTGAAAGCAGCTGGGACCCAGAGAAGCCAGTTAGGTCTGACTCTTAAAAGCCAAAGACCAGCAGGTGGGTGTCCTCAGGGGCAAATGGACTACATTGGTACCCATTCAAGCGGACTGGAGAAAGGTAAGAGGCTTTGGATATTCCATTTTCTCTCTCAGCTCTTCAGCAGGAGATTTAGGCCCTGGGCTGGTACTGTCCTGCAGCAGGGGCAGGGTAGACAGAAATGGCTGCATATCAGGCCTAACTCCATGTCATCCTCTCAGGCATTGCCACTGAAGATGGAGAATTTTTTTCAGAGGCCCAGCCTGGGCACGTAGGAGGAACCACCTTATTAAAATTAATTTAAGAAAACAGTATGCATGCTTTATTCTTCTAGAATAACTATTAATGTCATGTTTTACAAGATATCTCTTAAAGGAACAGTGAGAATCATCTACATAATGTATGTTTTACATGGTCTTTTCTATAATTGCAGCTTTCACATGTTCTGATAGAATCCATTTCCTTCGGGAACACACAGGCAGTATCTCTGTGTTGATTTCTACTGGGAAATCTTTATGCAGGGTGGAGAGAGTCACATTTCCTAATGAGAGATGGAAAGCATCTGATTACCAGAAAAAGTGTCCAAATTCTGCTGCTATGATCATGGTGCTGCGGGTGGAGGTCAGTTTAAGGAGGATTCAGGCAAAGCAATTTTGAAAGTCTTTTTCATTGTTTTTGTTTGTTTGTTTGTTTTTTGTTTTGTTTTATGTTTTTTACAAAACCATGGGCAGAAGCCACCACCTGGACCCACCACATGTTGGAATGGATGAGGGACAGAAATGGAGCTCAGTAAATTGAGAATGAAATTCAAGAGTGGGGAAGAGGTTTGAGAGGTCAACAGGTGTGAGAGGTGAATCAGTGAATGATGAGAATGTTCAAAACATCTTCTTTCTCCATAATAAGAGAGCAGTTAGGCCCCTGAGTCAGACAGTGTTCAGGCCAGGGGAAGCAGGATGTTGTCAGCTCTCCTGGGCAAAAGTGAGACTCCAGCAGTGTCCAGTTACCTCATCCAGTTTGGGATTTATTCCTATTTTAAAAATGATCCAACAGTATGCAATTTTGAAAATATACAAAAATCTCTATGCTACCATTCATAGATAGACAAGATGGCCCTAAGATGGTGAGAGAATCAGAATGGGGTTTGGGTTTACATTGTGTATTTTTTTCTCCCAATATCTACAAAATTCCCTACATCAATTCTTTAATGTAACCCAGTGGGTGTCATTCCCTTTCACAATTACAGACATTTCCAGTTCACGGTTAAAACGCTTGGAAAACCCACACCCTTTCTGCTGTGAGGTACAGGCAGCCATGTGGCATCACCTCTAAACATGCCTTCTGGGACATCAAATTGCTGATTAAGTAAAAGTCATTTCAGTAGATATTGAAGACCTCCATTTTACCCGTCTCACACTTGTAATTCTTCTACCAAGAGGTGATGGATTTTAGTGGTGATTTGCTTTTATAGATTAGTGTAGATTAATGCTTCTGCCAGGGGGAAATTTTACGTTGGGGAAAGCATTTGGCAAAGTCTGGAGACATTCCTGGTTGTCAGAGCTGGAGGAGGGAGTCCTGCTGGCCTTGAGTGGGTAGAGTCCCCAGATAGTGTGGAACATTCTAGAGCTCACAGAGCCCCACCAGCATGACCACTACAAAGTTCAATGCTGAGGAGGAGTGGAGAGCCCTCATGTGCCTTCCCTAGCTTCCCTAGAGCTTTTTACCTTCTCCTTCCTTCAGCCTCTCCCACTTTCTCACCTCAGCTTGCTCCTTGAACCTTAATGCCCTCCACTTGAACTTTCCCCTGGTTTAAGACCTGCTGTAATCTCTTGACTTCCTTGGCCCCTTTCTGATCCTTAGTAGGGTGTCCTCTAGAGGGGATCCTCACCTTTCCTGGAGCTTCCCAGGATCCAGATGCCCCTGCCCTGTGTGAGCAGCAGGGATATGGCCATGTGCCTGTGTCCCTAAAGGTCCTGTCACTCAGGACTTCAGTGTGAGAGCAGCTGAGGTGATATTACCCTCCCCTACTTTTCTTTGAACATAAAAATATGCACAAACCTTGGAGAGTAAAATTTCTTAATGCATGTCAAAATTTTAAAAATACATATTTTTGCCTCCCAAAGTTTACTGGGAAAAATTTATCACACTACCAGTCATGAAAAATGACACCTAATCAGGGTTATTCACTGTATTGTTTGTTTAACAGCAAAATGTTGGGAACAACCTAGACTTTCACCAGCACGATGCTAATTCAACAGATTATCTTATATCTACACAACAGAATATGAAGCAGCTGCATAAAAAGTATAGAATCTGTCAGCTATTCATATGGAAACACCTCCATGTTCTATTTTAATTATAGCATCCAAAAATCACAGAATAAGATGCAGTTTTTGTACTAGATCTCACCTTAGAACATTATTTTTACTGTTGTTTTTCTGTTTTTAATTTAAAGAGCGATTGTCTCACTCTCATACCCAGGCTGAAGTGCAGTGGCGAGATCATAATTGACTGCAATCTCAACCTTGTGAGCTCAAGCGATCCTCCTGCCTTGGCCTCCTGAGTAGCTGGAATCACAGGCACGTGCCCCCATGTCTAGCTAATTTTTTGTGTTTGTTTCTGGAGAGATGGGGTTTCACCCAGGCTGGAGAAATCCCAGGTTTTTCTCAAACTTCTGGGTCCAAGTGATCTGCCCACTTTCCCTCCCAAAATGCTGGAATTACAAGCAAGTGTCACCACACCTGATTCTGCCTTTTCTTTTTTTAATTGGACTGCAGTCTGCTTATGCATCTCTTTCCCCATCAGGTGATTTCTATTTTTCCTCAATTTCTCTACCATATGTCAATGCCAAAATCCACATCTATTTGCTTTTGTTTAGAATTAGATTTTTTTTTTTTTTTTTTTGAGAGAAGCCTTAGGAATGGTCTCCTAGCTGATTTTCAGGATTCTAATCTTCACTGTCTAAGCCATATGTTTCCATTTTCAGATATTGATTACAGTCACCTGTAGAGCATTTAAACCCTACCAATGCCTGTACCATCCCTCAAGCCTATCTGATTTGGCTAATGTGTGGTGTAGCCCAGAGATTGGTTGTTTAAAAATGCTCTGTAGGAAAAGGGTCATTTTGCAGTGGAGGAATTTTAACCCAGTGATCAAAGTTAACGTCTCCAGTAGTCAGAGATGACGACATCTTAGGGCATTCTAATATAATAGATGGAGGAGGTGCAGCATCATCCCTGTGGTATTCTTCTACAAACTGTATAACCTGAGTTTAATGGTGAGAAAATATTAGAAAAGTCCAAAATGAGGGTCTGCTACCAAATAAGTAACCAATACTCTTCAAAATTGTGAAGTTCTTAAAGGTAAATCCTAACTTTCCCAGATTAAAGAAGACTGAGAGAACAGTACAATGAAGAGCAATATGTGATACTAGATTGGATCCTGGTCCAGAAAAAGGACATTAGTCAGAACATAGAGGGGATTTGGATAAGGTCTCTACAGGCTTTCATTTTACAGTGTTAATAATCATTTATTGATTTTGATTATTAGGTGCATATCTATAATGTTACTATTTAAGGAAGTTGAATGAAAAGCATATGAGGACTTTGCCTATTTTTGGAACATTTTAGAAAGTCTGAAATTATTTCAAAATTAAACATGAAAAGAAAAGAAATATAGATCTTTTAGATATTTCTATTAAGTGTCCAAAGTTGAAGATCATTTCCCAACTTCTCTTGCCTAATGCTGGTCACAGTAATCTTCCTGGAAATGCTGTTTGTCATGTTCGTGACCTTTTCAAAGCTTTCCAATGACTTCTCTTATCTGTGGGATGAAGTTCCCATTACGTAGGTTGCCATTCAGTGTCCTCATAGCATGGCCCTAATCTCCCTTTTATTTTGATCTGTGTTGAAAGACCTGACCAACATTTTACTTTCTTATGGTCAAAATTGTTCTAATTTTTTCTTGCTTGTTTGATGCTCTTCCCTGTCTTCTCAACTGTGGGACTTCAGTCAAGGTGGTGGGAAATATTTTTGGAGAAAAATTATAAAGATAGTTATAGGAAATAGTCACAAACCTTGGAACCTGGGGGTTTGCATAGCTTCAAGTAAAAGGTTTGGCTGAAGGCAGCTGAATTATCTTAAAAGCTTAGGGCATAGATACACAGGAATGTAGAGGAGTTTATCTAAATAACTTGTTTACTCAGGCGGTCCTAAAGCCAAAATTTAATCTTATGCTGGGGAACTACTCTTGGGGAGGTCGGCAATGTCAATTACCTTCTAGTGGTGTTTACTCAAGACCTTTGTTATTTAATCTGTACTAAATAAATGCGAATTTCACTGGCAGATCAGGGCCGCTGCTGTTAACTCTTTACCGGGCCCTTCTAGGTATCCGTGAGTGACTTGGACACCTAGCCTGCTCTTTCACTGGATATTAGTGTCTGAGTGTATTTGTTCATCCATTGCTGGGTCAGGGGCTGCCGGTTGGACCCAGACAGTTGGTGCCCCATGTGAGGACCTGGCATGTTGGTTCCCAGGTCTGAGGTATACCTGCAAATAATTGCGACAGAACCTCTGAAAACTAAGGAGAAGACTGTGCGGTTGGTAAAACAGTAAGTCGATAAGTCAGTAAGTCAGTAGGTCATCGATGCCCGCTTGGGATCACCAATTTCGAGGGAATTGTTCAGGGTAGGCTTTTATCACGGGACAACAGTTATCAGCACAACAGGAGCAGTATCTAAAAGTATTCAAACAGCTACTTCAAGCCACTGGAGCCTCGGTTTTGCAGGCTTAACTAAGGGACCTAATGCAAATTGTATCACTTAACCCATGGTTCCTGAAGGAAGGTAAGCTAGACATAGAGCTTTGGGAACAAGTGGAGAGAAATCTTTTTGTTTTCTTTTGTTTTGTTTTGTTTTGAGAGAGACACAAGAAACAGAAAACGGGGAGATGTGGGAGTTCAGTCAGGGTGGTGGAAACGATTTTAGAGGAAAAATTATAAAGATAGTTATAGGAAATAGTCACAAACCTTCTTGGAAGGCCAGGGAGGTTGCATAGCTTCAGTAAAACATTTGGCTGAAGGCAGCT